CTATTTTATAACTTTTAATAAAAAAATTATTTTAATAACAAAAAAAACATCAGACTTCATTAATAATTATAAAATATTTCATTCACAGGTGCCTAACTAAATGCAAATTTATGTAAAAGAAGGAAAGACCGTCTGCCAAACGAAAAAGGGTACCACAGTCATTTTCATCCAGCGCGTAACTAACGACTCAAGATCCTTCACAGAGACAGCTCCTCTGTGTCCTCACTGAAGTCCGCTTGAACTTTAAAAGAAGTCTCTCATCTTTGGGTCTTGCCATGTGAAAAAAACCTTCTCTCTCTTCCTCTCTACATTTCTTGTGCAGATCTTGGGCACATTGAATCAAACAGGAAGCATATCAAACACAAAGTTGGGGTTTTGGTTTGGGTCTGCATCAAGAAATGGAGTCCCTTTTCCCCTCACTCTCTGGATCCATCACCAAACTCACCAGCTTTGCCTTCTTCCTCCTCTTCTTGCTTTCTTGCTCCACTTTCACTTCCACAGGTAACTTTCTGATTTCATTTTAGATGTTTTCAAAGAAAGAAAGTGTCTTTCAAGTGTTTCTCTTGTTTTAGTAATCTGGGTTCAGCTTTATAACCGCCTCATTTGATACAGAATTTGACTCTTAGTTGCAAGATTTCAAGAGATTTAGCAAAATGGACTGCTAAAATTAACTAAAGACTTGATCTTTCGGTTTCTTTTTATGGGTTGTTTGCTAGATTCGTTATAGGATTGGATGAATGACAAAAATTAGAAAGTTTAGTAGATTGGGGAAGTTGGGATCTTACTAAGTCAATTTATGAAGTGTGACTGTGTCATGTTTAGCTTTCTCTCATGGTATCCGAACCAAAAGAATAGAGATTAAGCATTTTAACTTAAAATCAGGTGGTGGGTGTTATGCCATCTGAATGATTCCTCAATTGAGTGACAAAATCTCAAAATTCTGAGTTTTTAAGGCACTTAGGAAAGATTAACAAGTATTAGCAACACTTGTTCCAAAAATAGAGTTATCTGCTTCAACCTTTTCCCTAAATCCTTCCTGAATGTGTGTGGCATATTCTGAATCTGTTTTTGCCATTCAGATCTTGATTCACCAAAATACATGCATAAAACTTTATTATTGAAGTTTCGGTATCTTTTCATGATTGTTTCTGCAGAGGCTTATGATGCCCTTGATCCAACTGGTAACATCACAATCAAATGGGATGTGATTAGCTGGACTCCAGATGGCTACGTTGTGAGTATTATTATAGAGTTCCAATCGAGAACTCTATTCACTTTAAGTTTTCTTCTTAAATTTGAGAAGTTTTATTTGTATTCTTCCTTGGATTTCTAATCTTGTAAATTTGGTTTTGGCAGGCTGTTGTTACCATCTATAACTTTCAGCAGTACCGGCATATTCAAGCACCTGGTTGGACTTTGGGGTGGACATGGGCTAAAAAGGAAGTAATTTGGAGCATGATGGGAAGCCAAACTACAGAACAAGGGGATTGTTCAAAATTCAAAGGAAACATCCCACATTGCTGCAAAAAGGATCCAACAGTTGTGGATTTATTGCCGGGAACTCCTTATAACCAGCAGATAGCAAATTGCTGCAAAGGGGGAGTTATCAATTCATGGGCCCAGGACCCTGCCAATGCGGCAAGCTCATTTCAGGTCAGTGTGGGACAGGCAGGAACAACTAACAAGACTGTGAGAGTGCCTAAAAACTTCACACTGAGAGCACCAGGGCCAGGATATACTTGCGGCCCTGCCAAGATTGTGAAACCAACAAAATTTGCCTCAGCAGATAAAAGGAGAATCACTCAAGCTATGAGTAAGTTACTTACTAAAGGCTTTTCAGTAGTAGGTGCAAACTCTGTTTCTATTGCTTTTATATTAAACAGTTGAGATATGTGCATCTTTAGTCTATGATATAGATGCCATGTCTGATATTGTTAGTACATAGGTAATGCACATAAACATGCATATATGTGTGTTAAGTTTCTTTTCATTTTTCAATATTTTCTGTATTTTAATAGTTCTGTTCTGAGTAAACAAATCTAAATATATAGACATAGCTGAACTTATACATGCCCAAAATTTTTGTGTTCTTTATGATCTACGATGGAACTGTTTTCTAACTTTGAAAAATCTTGACTTTATCTCATGGCAGTGACCTGGAATGTTACATGCACATATTCACAATTCCTGGCTCAAAAGACACCCACCTGCTGTGTCTCGCTTTCTTCCTTCTACAATGAGACTATTGTAAATTGCCCAACTTGTGCTTGTGGGTGTCAAAATCACACAGCTGATCCTGAGAGCTGTGTAGAGTAAGTTCTCTCTCATCCTTTTTCGCTGAATGTACAAATTTGTCTACTCAACCTGTGCTTGATTTTTTTTTTTTAATTGCTAATTTATTCCTCTACTTTGCCTGCGATGGTGCCCTACAGTCCAAACTCTCCACATTTGGCTTCAGCTGTTACCAGCTCTAGCAAATCTAGCAGTGCACCTCTGGTCCAGTGTACTAGCCACATGTGTCCAATCCGAGTTCATTGGCATGTTAAGCTCAATTACAAGGAGTACTGGCGTGTGAAGATCACAATCACCAATTTCAATTACAGAATGAATTACACTCAATGGAATCTAGTTGTGCAGCACCCCAACTTCGACAATCTTACCCAGCTTTTCAGCTTTTATTACAAATCATTAACTCCTTATGAAGGCCTAAGTAAGTCAACTTTTGCCATAATTTTGTTCAGTAAAGTGCTACTCCCTTTTTTATTATTTGTTTGAATTTGTACTCCATGTTCTGTTTCATAACTAACTTACAATTTCCAATAATGCACTTTTGTTCGCAGATGATACTGCCATGTTATGGGGGGTTAAATTTTACAATGATTTACTCTCACAAGCTGGTCCTCTGGGGAATGTGCAGTCAGAACTACTATTTCGAAAGGATGCATCAACTTTTACTTTTGAAAAGGGTTGGGCTTTCCCTCGGAGGGTATATTTCAATGGTGATAACTGTGTTATGCCACCACCAGATGCCTATCCATGGTTGCCAAATGCCAGTTCTCGACCAGTTATCTCTCTACTTTGTCCAGTCATCACAATCTTAGCATCATTAGTTTTCTTGTGGGCTAATGCATAATTAATTACACTGAGGAAATTGCTAAAATCGTTGGTTTGACTTTCAAAGAAGCCATCTGGTTTATGTTTCTACACTGAAGCTTACTGGTAACAGCTGATGGGGCTGGCACGATGTTGGTGTGGCAATTTTACATGTTAGGAGAGGTTCAAGTGCACCATTTCCTGTTCCTCGAGCATTCTTCTGCATTATTATCTATTGTTGTTTTACAATTTACGCAGATTTTCTTGAGAGTTTATCTGCTTGTTGTATTCTTTTGTTTACGTTATATAGTTTTGACCCATTTGTTGTAGAGTATCAAGAAACAATATATTAGCATTGTATGGAGGAACCACATGAAGAAATGTAGTTGATATAAGGTTCTTTTCCTTTCTCATCAGTCATTTAGTGTTTTTCATCTGGATTATACATGCATGATGATCTAATAATGTACCATATCGTTTCTTTCTTTCATTAAAACAAAAGGTTCAAGAAATATTATTATCTAGCTGTTATATAGGTTTGGGGTTTGGATCAGGAATGACACAGCTAAATATTCATGTAAATGATCATCATCCACTTTATTAGCGTCAAATGAATATCAGCTTCATATGAAAATTGAAATTCAAATCTCAACTAAATAGTTTCTTAGAAAAAAGTGAAAGTGAAGATGTCTTAATAATTTAAATATCAAAACTCCATGTGAAATTGTTTAAATATATTTAATGAATCTTTTTATGTAGTAATTTATTATGAGTATTTTAATTTTTTTATTATTAGTTTTGATATTTTAATTATCAGGTCATCATATTTTCCTAAATCTTTTTTAAAAAACCTTTGTTAGGTTACATGTTCAAGTGAGAGGTTAATTGCTTTTCTAGTAGGTAATTCAAAATGGAAGGCAAACGGTGACCAATGTATGGTTTAGGGGTATGGTTATGGCACACGCCAAAGTATTAGGTGACGTATCAAAATGTTTAGGCCACACAAATCATAATTTTTTTTTCATAAGTTAATCATTTATCATTTATCAAGCAACAACTACAACTATAATTAGGAGCTATTCCTAATAACTAAACTAAAGTAGTATTTTAAAACACAATATTTAAAGATTTGTGACTTTGTGGCACTTTATTGTGTGCCCATATCCATACCCATGATTTAGTAACCAATTTGGTTATTTTTTCATTATTTCCAGCTGAATCAATCCGACGAAACATAAACTTGGATAATGAATTTCAAGTGTACTATTGTTGTATTTTTTTTTATTACCTCATAAATGATTAAAAAGAAGAGATAATTATTGGTTTCTATCTATACAATCATTACACACTGCGCATCTAACATTTCTATACATTTAATCTACCGCTTGAACTCTTAAATTCCCTCTTCTGTATAAACACATACCTTTGGAATCAGGATGCAGTTGACCCCAAATCCACCAAGACACTCATCTCATTAATTTTTCCAGTTTCATCTCTGCTGCTTGACTTGTCACTAGAAGGCTAGCAAAACCAAGAGCAGAAAAGGAACCACGATAGCTGATGCAAGTGTATTTGTATTGGCAGAATTTGGTAGGTAAGGGTATTGATCTGCTGAGGGCATCATGCATTCATCCCCATTGAAGTAGATTTTCCGTGGGAAAGCCCAACCTTCCTTGAATGTGAAAGTATTCATATCCTTCTGTAGAATCAACTCTGTCTGGACATTTCCATCTGGTCCGGTTTCCATCAGGATATCATTAAAAAATTTTAAACCATAGAACATGCCACTGTCATCTGCATATTCAAGACAGCTAAAGTTATTTCCAAAGATGATGAGTATGTTAATGCAGACGAAAGTTTTTTTTGTTTACATTTTCCTGATGAATGTGGTATGGACTTACTTATGGAATTGTATGGGATGAGGGGCTTGTAGTCAAAGCTAAAAACTTGAGTGACATTGTTAAGATTTGGATGTTGGGCAACAAGAGTCCACTGAGTGTAGTTAAACTCGTAGTTGAAATTCATAATGGTTATCTTCACTCTCCAATACTCCTTATAGTTCAGCTTCACATGCCAATGAACACGAATTGGGCACATGTGCTCTGTGCATTGCAGCACAGGGGAAGTCAAGCCTGTTGCCGAGTTCATTCCCACAACACTCTTGATCTGTGAAGCACTCCTGCATTTGTTTGGAAAAATTAACAATCATCAAGCTCAATTTTGGTATCTCTGCACTGGAAGTTATATTAACATGTGGTAAGAATAATTTGAAGTTTAATCTATCTGCTTCGGTTCAAAATTAGTGTGAGATCAGAGGGAAGGATTACGTGACACAGTTGTTCTTGTTTTGACAGCCACAAGAACAAGTTGGACAATTGGTGATTGTTGAGTTGTAGAAAGATGACATGGAGACACAACAGGTTGGGTTCTTTGAAGCCAGAATCTGAGAGTAAGTGCATGTCACATTCCAAGTCACTGCAAAGAAGACGTTAAGGATCAAAACCAATGAAAGTTAATCTTTTAAACTCATTTTCTTCTTCTATGCATACAAAGGCATAGTTTTCTTATAACAAAATCAAACTCACTCAATGCTTGAGTTTTTCGGCGACCATCGGCTGACAGAAAAATTGTGGATGGCACTATCTTTGCCTGACTGCATGTGTAGCCTGGTCCAGGACCGAGCAAAGTGAAATTCTTAGGCAGTCTCACAGTTTTGTTAGAAGTACCAGCAAGGCCAACACTTAGCTGAAAGGCAGAAACTGCAGAAGAAGGGTCCTGTCCCCTTGATGCTACAACCCCACCTTTGCAGCAGTTGGCAATCTGTTGGTTGTAAGGGACTCCAGGGAGCAAGTCAACAACTGTGGGGTTCCTTTTACAGCAGTGTGGAATGTTTCCTTTAAACTTGGAACAGTCACCTTGATCAGTCGCTTGAGCTCCAACCATTGACCAGATTACTTCTTTCTTAGCCCACACCCATCCTAAGGTCCAGCCAGGGCTCATGATGTGTCGGTACATTTGGAAGTTGGTCATGGTCACTACGGCCTGAATCCCCAAAGTTGTAATCAGATTTCCAACTATAGTGAATATGAGATTGATATCTAATGAATCATTTCAAACACACAAACACATTTCATTTTCCAGGAAAATTTGAGGTACCCATAAATTTCTGCTAGAAACAAATAACAGAACAGAATTTACCAAGTTCTGGTTAAACTTACAACATAACCGTCTGGAGTCCAGGACATGATATCCCATTTGATTGTTATGTTCCCATTTGGATCCAAAGTATCATATGCCACTGCAACACAACATAGAAGAAATCAAGCATCAACAGACAACAGAATCAAATTTCTTATATCAAGTTACATGAATTGCAGATTTACCTGCATAAGGAAGTATCATAAGAAAGAAAGCACCTAAGACAAGATGTTGAAATTTACTGAAAGCCATGCTTCAAGCCTTGAACTTCAATGGTATTTGGAACTCTCAGGCTCAACAGGGATATAAAAGAATGGAGAACTTATTTCAGTTAAGGAGATTGAACCCAAAAAAATTGTTTAGAACATCCTCAACTGCTAGCTCTGTCGGCCGAATCATATTATACTATTACGTCATTTTCTCATACAACTTATATCGTTTTTCTGTGATTGTGCCATTTTAGGCTTCTTGCAGGATGTCTTTGTTGACTGACTCAGAACACGCAGAGGATTTCTAAGGCTAACATCAGATATACCTGGCTTCTAACAACAGAATGGCACACTTTAGTTGCACCTAATGCTAAATGATTAAACTATAACCTACAAAACAAATGAATTCAATATTTATATGTATTATTCATAAATAGAAACTTAAAAGTCTAAAACAATATAAATTAGATACAGATGGAACATGCATCTAACTTCCCATTTTACAATATTTTCTCAATTATTGTTTTATATTTCTTCTTATGGCTGCTTGGTGCAACAGGGGGAATGTGGAATTATTGTGTTGTATATATCTACATCAGGGAGAGCTGGAATTACGAAGTCAACTTACCCCTTTGATCATGACTTACTAACTGCTTCACAAACAGGATTTCTTCAACCAATAAGTTTTCATTTAAGACAATCTTCCAAGAAAAATACTCGAAACCTTCTGGAATCTGGGTAGTTTGTATGTATGAACTTTGATGTAGCAAAGAATAAAGACCAGAATAGTTTCTCACATTGACATATGATGGATCATGCTGGATGGGATGGACAGTAGTAAATAGGGGTAGGAATATCCTAATTTTGTGTTGTGTTCTAATGATTTCGCTGTTAGGAGTATGGAAATGGCTCCGAAGAGGGACCGACAATCATCAATTAGAGCAAGTTCTTTGAATTACGCAAACGAGAAAGTCATATTGTTAGGTGATTATTTTAATCCAGTGCATTCAAAAGGAAAATGAAATTTAAACAGCTTTTAATTTGAGGTTTAAACACTAAATCATATGTCATAAACCCAACAAAGCTTGGTATATTCTTTTTTAAACTAATGAGCATAAAAAGTAAATAATAATAATAATAATAAATAATTTTATTTCGACAAGTCATATATCTTGATTTTAAAATATAATATAAAATTCATCTAATGTGGTTTAGAAGTAATAGATTTGATTTAACTCATATAAGGATTATTTAACCTTCTTTGGGATGCAAAGTCTTTTAAAATATTAGATATTGGTTGAGCATGATTTACAGGACAAATATTATTTGGACAGAAAAAAAAATTAAAAAAAAAAAGGAGAGAGAGACCGAAAACTTTAGAATTATATTAAAACTAACCCCTAAACGGTAGAGATGAGGGGAGGCACCTTTATAAAGCGAATTTTGATAAGGCTGCAAGTTATGTACATAATCCTTACAGAACTTTTAAAAACATTCTAGATAATTGTTCTATAAATGGAGTGCAATTTATTTAATTACCTAATATGATATTGTAAATTTTACAATCATAATGAATTAGTATATATTATACTTTAAAAAAAAACTCTTTTTTTTTTACTTTTTTAAATTAAGAACTTAAAGATATATTTATATTTTTTTATAATACTTTTAAAAAATAAAAATCAAAAAAAGAATTTTTTGTAATTGAGTAGTGATTAATTAAAGTGAATAGACAATGATATAATTAAAATAGAAGAAAAATATTTGAACATTAAAAAAACAACAATTAATTTAAAATAAATTTAAAATAAAAAAAATAATTTTGAAATAAAGAGAATACTCTTTTTATTTAAGGGTCTTGTGTGATATTCATATATATATATATTGTCAACAACTTTATGTAGTATGATATATATTTATTTTTTTAATACCACATCAATATTATAATTTGTAAACCTATAATCCTTCGCGATAATATCATTTTTGCTTATATTCAGTGTAAACTTAATCTTAATACCTTTTTTTTTTTCTAGATGAACGCCCCCAATATAGAAGCACTGGATAATTCTTTTGAGCTCTCATTTGGAGCCCAATCTTGCCCATGGCTAAGCACCTACCGGCAAGCAATTTCTAAAGTAATCGTTTCTCCCCTTCTTCCTCCGCCCCCGCCCCCCCTTCCCCCGGTCCTCCTTTTTTTTTTTTTGGTTCAATTAAAGTTAAATTTCAGGTATTAAAATGTGTTTAGAGATTCTGCTCTCTGTAAACAAATTAAAAAAAAAAAAAAAAAAGGGTGAAAAGCCTTCCTCACACGATTGAAGAATTAAATAGGAGAGGAGGGCAGGCTAGCTTGCTTCAATCTCCTCATCTTCTGCATCGTCTCCCACAACAAAATTAAGTTTCAATTAATAGAATCGAACCCCTTTTGGAAGTATGATATATTAAGAGGGAATCATTCTAATCAAGTGACTACATTGTTTAACCCTTTCAGTAACTTGTCGTTTTTATGAATTTTCTGACAAAAATGGAACAAATCCTCTGCAAAAGACAATCTCCTCTTCCAACTGCAAAGTTCAATGAACATCAAAATTAGATGAAAAAATGTTCTCTTCCCTTTGGACTCCCGAAAAGAATGAAGTCAATTCAGATAAAAAATAACTAAAATGCCTTAAAATTCAGCTTTATTAGGAATATATATTTTAATAATTTTTCAATTTGTACTGATGACAAAATTTGTCAGTTCAAACTCAAAAGAATATTTTTGAAATTAGAGCAGTATTATATATACCTGATGACTGAACACCATCAAAATGCCGAAAGGCATGGGTCATTAATTAGTTAGATATAAAAGCTCAAGCAGCATACGGGAAAAGGAAGAGATCCCCGGAAACAATAAAAATGAGTGGCATGGGAAAGGATGGTTAGGTTCCCTATTTTTTCATCACAACTCATAGGAAAGAGATGACGGAAAACATATTTCAACATTAAAACCTTTCCCAACCACTCATTTCTACTGGCCTCTGGGAGCTCACTCTCCCATTTCAATTCAGCTCAATTTCTGTTGTGTGCAACATCCCTGTTAGCCATGAACACCTTAAATAGGCAGCCTTAGGCCATGGATTGTGGCCCTACGCCGCACATACATAAACAATAGTGGTTTTATAAAACTTTCAAGCACACTGTTTTGTTTTGGTTAGTGAGTTATGTAACTGGTCTATACCTTTCCTTACTTTGGAAAGTGTGTAAAACGTAACGCTCAATTTAGTTATTAATAACCGGTATTATAAGAATAATTTTTTATTTTAATTTTTAATATAATTTTTATATATCATTAAATAAATGAATGTATTCAATATTACAGGTTTTATATAAATAAAAAAATCAATTATTTAAATAACACATTAAGTTATACCAAAAAATAATATAAAAAAATTATCTTAAAATCATTTTTTCTCTGTCAATAAGGATGTGTCTATTCTCGTGTAGAATAATAAATAAATAAAATTTGATTGGTGGGTCAGAGATGGACCTATTCCTTTTTTTCTTCTTTTTTTTTCACCCTAGTTAGAACATGAGTTTTTCTTAATGTACATTATGTAAAAATGATAACGCTCAGTTTTTGTTCGTTCATAAGAGCTTGCTCATTCTCATGTATGGTGACATATAAATATATTTTGATTAGTGGGTTAGAAAACTAAAACAAACATATTCCTTTCTCACACTAGTTGGAGTACTAGTTTTTCCCAACATACATCTGTGTAAAGGTAACGTTCAGTTCTATGCTTCTATGTACTAGTAAGCACCTACTCATACTTGTGTATAAAAATAAATAAATATACTTTGATTCTGGGGTTAAAAAACCTTAAATCCTTTCTCACTGTAGTTGGAGTATGAGTTTTTCTCAGCATATAACACTTGTTAAAGTAACGCTTAGTTTTGTCTACTAGTAATTAAATACATTCTCATACTTGTGTACAATAATAAATAAATATACTTTGATTGGTGGATTAAAAAACTTAAAATGGACCTATTCTTTTTTTTTTTTTCCTTTTTTGACTCTAGTTAAAACACGAGTTTTTCTTAATTTACCTATATATAAAAAAAATAACTCTTAATTTTTATCTATTCATAAGAACTTGTTTATTCTTGTGTATATTTTGATTGGTTTTTTTTTTTTTTTGATATTGGTTACACAATAAGAGACAAGCATCTCTTATCCTTTATCCCATTTTACTCACATATCATGTGATTTGAATTTATTTATCTCATTCCACCCACATATCATGTGATTCGAATTCAGAATCTGTTACTTTCAACAAAATGAGATAATTACTGAATTATTTAGGTCGTTGGCTTGACTGGTAGGTTAAAAACCTAAAACAAACATATTCCTTTCTTACTCTAGTTGAAGAACGAGATGTTCTCTTAATGTAGGTATGTGTAAAAGGTAATGCTAAGTTTTGTCTATTAACTACTAAGTACTTGCTCATCCTTGTATATAGTAATAAATAAATAAATATACTTTAGTTGGTGAGTTATAAAACCTAGAACAAACCTATTTCATTTTTCACTCTAGTTTGGAGCACTTTATCAATAAGGATTTATTCATACTTGTATATGTTAATAAATAAATATATTTTGATTGATGGTTGTATCTATATGATTACTCCACCAAATTAAAGTTTTATCAAAGTTATTATATAAGTTAAGGCTCGAGTTTTTTTTATTAACAAAATCTT